TTCTTTTGAGTTCCATGTCCTGCATTGTCTCTAGGGGGTTCTCATTGTACTCCTCTAGAGTACTATTAGCATTTGGTGGGGATATGTTATTTTGGTTTTTCATGTTATTATTTTTTCTCTGTGATTTTGACATGTGAATTTCTTTCGTAGTTTCTGAATCTTTTGTGAAACTCAAGCCTTCAAATTTAGGTCTGCTTCTTTTAATGAACTTTATGTGTCTTTGTGGTTTACTTTTTGGGCATGAAAGGCTGGTTCACCTAAGCTTCCAGTTCTCTCTTTTGATTTTATATTGGAGTGGCTGGGTTGGTTTTGTCTTCAGGAGGTCACACAGAGGGCCAAGTCAGATGAGGATCAGATTCTCTCATGCTTTCTCCTAAGGTCTGGATCCCTCCAGGATAGATTTTGGCCTCAAGAATTTGGGGGTTGGACTGGCCTGAGTGCCGGTCCCAGTAAAGTTTCTTATCTAGGGCTGCTGCAGTGCCACCCAAAGACGCAAAGGAAGATGGGGGTGGGAGGCAGTACCAAGGGCCCCTGAGGACTGCACTGAGGAGCTGGGTTCGTCTGTATGCAAAGGACCAGGAAGAGGAAAGGTCAGCCCTGGTGTCCAGGAAAGAGGCTGGAGGCTTGTACAGACCCAGGGTGGCAGAGGGAGGTGAGGGTGGGGTAAGGCCTAGAGCACCCCTGGGGACAGGAGAAGAAGCTGAGCTGCTCTGGATGCATGGGATCAGGAAGCAGTGGTGGTTCCCCAGGTTTCTGGGGTGGCAAGACAAGGAATGGGACAGGACCCAGGATGGCAGGGGAGATGGGAGGGTGAGTGAGGCTGGGGGAGTCAAGGCATGGAGGGTAGGATAGACTTACCCCAGATAGAGAGGCCTGCGGGTCAGAGAGAGCTATCAGTGATTTTTTTAAAAGATAATTTTCTATAGAAAGAATGAAGCGATAACTTCATTTACTCTTTTAGGATGTCAACTTAACTCTGACTTTTATTATTTGAAAAACAGTTGTCATGTTTATTGATCAGGAGAGCTGAAGAATCTTCTTTAGCTCTAGGTCAACACACTACGGCTAAAATAAAAATTACTGTCATTCTTCTGTCTTCCACAGTTGCTACACGAATGAAAGCCTCCCATGCCATCGATCAATTCAACTCTTATTTTAATCCTGATGTTGACATACAAGTCCATACATAGTACAGGACCACAAGACGACAGAAGGGGAGAGCTCGCTCAGCATGGAAGTGCCTTGTATTGATGGAATAGGGACCAAGGAGTTGTGAAGGAAAACTGTCTTCCCTTTATTTCAGATAGCACAGTCTGCCAAAGCTTTTCTGCTCCTCTAACAACATTTGTCTTTAGGTTTACCAACCTGTGGTTTAAAATAAATGCTTTTGTGCACCAATGTTGCAGATTTAAATTATTCAATTATATTTTATCAGTGAAAACATCACCAGCTATTAATAGCTTGATGCATAAAACATGTGACTTGACCTACTTAGCTTTAACTGTCAACTTGACACAGCCTAGTGTCACCTGAGAAGGGAGTCTCAGTTGATGGGTTGCTCAGATCAGACTGGCCAGTGGGCATGATTGTTGGGGATTGTCTTGATTGTTAATTGATGCAGAAAGGCCCAGGTCATGGTGGGCAGCATCATTCGTAGGGAAGATGGTCCTGGGCTGTATGAGAAAGCTAGCCAAGTATGGGTCTAGGAGTGAGCCAGCACACAGGGTTCCTCCATGATTTCTGCTTTGAGATTTTGCTTGAGCTCCTGCCTCAGCTTTCCTCAATGATGGACTGCAACCTGTAATCTGAGACAAACTTCCCTCCCCTAAGTTACTTTTGGTCAGTGTCGTCTTTTCTCACAGCATCAGAGATGAAAGTAGAATAAGACTTCACATAAGATCTCTGTCATGCAGCTGCATGCTCTACAAACACAGGCTTTCTGGTAGATTCTGTGTAACACTTACACTCCAATCAAATACAACCATTTCAATCAAACACAGATTGAAATGCATGCAAATTTATAAATGAAGTCATTGCTAAGCATATTTAGAGAGAATTTATTTTGTTCAGCGTGGAAGTAGGCTTACCTTGTTCCTTCATGCCTGTACCATGCTGGTGTGGATATCCTAAACACTTTTGCATCAGGAAGCTGGGAAAATGTGTGTACCAAACAAAGGGGAATTTGTATAACGTATTCTCACTAGAGTGGCTAATATAAGCCGAACCATTCAGAACATGACTGTGAGCCACTAAACATCTCTAAACCTAGCCTAGAATTGAGTACACTCAACTTTCCCTTAGCTGGATCCCCCAAATACTTATAGCTATTCAAGAATCACCCAACACAAAGTGCAAAGAAAGGAAGTGAGAGGGGAGCAATGTTCTAACCAACATGATTAAAATATATGACTTCAGCAAAGTTCATAAATATATGTGAACACATTCCTAGGTTCCCTCCCAAGGCTTTGGTAAAGGTCTGCACTGTCCAGGGGTTGATTAGTTTTGTGGTACATTCACCTATTACTGTTTCATAGTTCTGATCTATTTGGCTAGAATTGTTGCTTAAATTATGTAAAAATGTTCATTCTTGTGTTTACATTAGTAACAGACTCTAGAAACTAGTAACAGTGACAAACGTCAGTAGGTCCTGTTGTACAGCCAGAGTGATGATTCAAACCTATGTCACCACAAGGATTTATTATAAAACTTTTCCAAGATATTATGCTTAAAGAGATTTATTTTTCTTGTCTTGCTACTAAACTAGAATTTTGATCCTGTCATAGAGACTTCCATCTGTCTTTGAATTTCTATCCAAACCAGACTAATATCTGCTCCATCAAAATTTACATGCTAAGCATCATTTTATCAGGTTTGTAAGCTGACTTTCATTTATACCTTCATCTCTAGCTTTTTGAAGCAAGTTCTTTTGGGAAATGTTTTGACTTATCTTCTGAGTAACAATAACAATCCTTGGGATATTATTCTTTTTCTTTAGAGGCATCTATGATGGAAATGCTTAGGGAAAGGGATTTTAAAGGGACATTCTAAAATCCTTGGGAAATTCCACGTGTAGACCAAGCTTCCTAGTTGTGCCAATTCATGACACTATTGAGGAATTTATGAGTCATAGGGCTAACATGCTGAGGTTAGAACAGAGCCAAAAGAAGGAAACTAGCTTCAGACACAAGAACTCTTGACTGCTGAGCCATAATTACTGTGGAAGACAATTTTCTTGAATGTTCTCTATATTGTGAGTGGCTAGAGATTAATGTTCAGGTCTTATTGCTAAAAAGAAAACCTCACCAAAGCCACTTAAACTACCGTGGTCTGCTGTAGGCTTTCTAGGCTGAGGAAAGCAGACCTTGATATTGTAACCCATATGGGTGATAGAGAGTGAAAGAAGAAACTTTCAGGTAGTGTTCAGGCAGACATGCTTCTCTGCTTGTGTGCTAAAGGATGCATGGGTTATGTCATGCCAAGAAGTAGAGGCCCATTCCACACAGAGGGAACAATCTGAGCAGAGACTCAGAAACAAGAGAAGTTGAAAGACTAAAGCTAAAGGTGAGTCCAATATTTGGGGTAATCTTTGCACAAGAAGAGCAAGTAAATGGCATGTAAAGCCTTTGACTTCCCTCAACACAGCTGCCATGGCAGCAGGCCTGAGCTTTTACGTGTAAATGCCCTTTTCCAGAATGTTCCCTCTCTGCTCCATGCCATTTTTGCCTTAAAAACCCTCAACCCTAAATTTTCAGTTTTTAAATCAATTTCCCTAAGATGAGAAGAAATCATGTCTGTGTGCTGTTATGACCTCCCCCCAGCATGGTCTATATGAGGACCTGTTCCTTGCTGTGTTTTACTTGTCTGCATCCTCATTAGGCTGCAATAAATATAAAGAAGAAATACCTTACTCGCTGTTTGATTTATATATGACACTTTCTGTGGTGCTTGACACAATGTGGTAGAAAGAATTTACTAGCCTATTAATAACTAATTTCAGTAAATAGCATTATTAAGCTAATAAAAATGGATAAGTACAGAAGAAAAGTTAAAAGGTTTAAAACATTAGGAACTCAGAGCTAATAGTACAAACATTTGCTTTGCCTTTCTGGTCAATATAGCTTGTACCTGAACTTCCCACCCCATTCAAATATCTTCTGTGAGGAACTGATCATTTCTGCATTGAGCTCTGGGGAAAGACCTAGTTCAAAATAAAATATCAACTGACTCGAGCTGCTGAAGGGATCTTCAGAAGTCTAATTATACCTATCTTGTATTTTGTTTGATTTTTTGTTGTTTTTATTGAATTTTTTGTGTATTTCCTATAGAACATCTCATTATAGGCCCGTCCCCACCTGCATCCTCCCATAGCACCCCCGCTGGAGTTCATATGCTCTGTGACCTCTGTTAAGGTCCACTGTGTTGTCAGTGTCCCCAGCCATTCCCCAGTGCAAGTCCATCCACTGAGGTCTAGTCAGCCTATCTAGAGTCCCTTGTTTTAGGAAGATCAGCTCTTCTTCACCTAGCAGCAATCAGTTGCCAATATTTCTTCAGCTAAGATTGAGGTCTGCTGTTCATTTTCCCAGTTCTATGCTAGATTACTGTCTGCCTGAGTTTGCATGGGACTTGTGTATGCTGACACCATTGCCATAGAGTCATATGAGCAGGTTCCCAGGAGCTTGTATTTTCACAAGATGACAAACAGTGGGGATTAAGCAGAGGAAATTAATTTCATATTTTAGTCTATGTCATGTAACCTCCCCCCACTTCATATATTGGAATGTGAATCTTCAAGTATAACTCTGACCATGATTGCTTGAGGATAAGACCTTTAGAGAGGAGACTGAAGCTAAGTAAGTTTATTTGGGGTGGCACTGATCTAATGGGACTGGTGTCTTTATAATAAGAGGAAGAGACTCCAGGAATGCACACAAAAAGATAAGGCCACATGGGGACACTGCCAGAAGACACTACCTGCAGGCCAGGAAAAGAGCTTTCAGAAGAAGCTAACCCTTCCATATCTAGTTCCAGGTCTCTGAAACTGTGAGGAAATCAATTCCCTAGTTTAAGCCAATGAGCTTATAGTACTTTGTTATGGCATCCCCAGAAAAGTAACACTTTCAATGATTCCTTTTCATCGGGACATAAACTATGATTTTTTTCTGCTCTATCTATTGGGGAAAATTCCTTTCAACTATTTTTTGTTTAAAAAACAGAGGGATAATCCTGGAAACAAAGATATATTCTGTTACTGTGTAATGAAAAAATCAGAATATAACCTTGGACTGTCACTGCCAAATCCAGATTTGATCACAGAGAAACACCAGAAAATTCAGATTAAAGAAGTATTCTGAATAAAGGAGACCAAAAGACATGCCAGTTAAATCTAATTTATGACACTCTGATTGGATCTCTCAACATTTCTATCTATCATCTATCTATCTATTTATCTATCTATCATTTATCTATCTCTCCATCCATCGCTCTACATAAAGGGTATTATTAAGATAATTTTCATGATTTTAATAATATCTATAGATTAAAAACAGTACTTTTGTACCACTAATAATTTTCTAGTTTTGTTCATTGTACTCTGATTTTATTTGTGAATTTTCTTCTTTTTAGGAAATACTGGGAAATCTAGGTAGAAAGTAATCTGGAATTCCTTACACTATTCATAAACATTTTCTTTAACACTAGAACTATTTAAAAATATAAGCATCAGACTGGGGTGTGGTGGCACACGCCTTTAATCCCAGCACTCAGGAGGCAGAGTCAGGCAGATTTCTGTGAGTTCAAGGCCAGCCTGGTCTACATAGTGAGTTCCAGGCCAGCTGGAGCTATAGAGAGACTACACACACACACACACACACACACACACACACACATATATATATATAATCAGGAATATAAACTTAAAAATTAAGTTGAGAGATGTATATATTGCAAAATGTTCACTATATTAAGTCAGGTTAAAAATTCAGCAAGCTGAAGATTAGATAAGAGATGAGAGAGCATTGCTTCTGTCCAGGTTTACTCTGGTTGAGGTGCAAAGTACAGGAGGGGGTGGGTATGTTGCATTTTGTATAATTTCCAGTAACAGCTCAAGGGTGAAGTCTTATTCAAACTTAGTGTTGCAATAGTATAAAAGGTCTAAGGAGCCCAGGTTTCTAGAGAGAGCCAAGCCTGCCAGTGTGTTAAAGCTGTGGGTAGTAGGAAAGGTACAGTTGAGGTAAAGACGAATTCCCAGCTGGCTGATGCTCCATTGCACTCTGAGCAGTTTCATGCTGTCCATAGCCCTGTGTGAAGGTAGGCACATGTGTCTCATCAGCAGAGTTTTCTGTTTCCTGTGATTCATGGGAAGGAAGGCCATCTAAAGTGCTTTGAGATTGGCTTATTAGA